AAAAAAAAAAAATAGAAAAGAAACATGTGAATAATTAATATCGTATATCGTAAAATCTTTGGGATATAAAAGTCTTACTTTCTAGAAGCGTCACGATGACGTTGTTTCCTCGTTATTTTTCATAAGCACGTATCGATCTTTCTTAAATTTTCTTCAAAGGATTTATCTTTTATCTTTAACAACGTGGAGATTGCGAACACACTTTTGATACAATTTGCTACTTTTTTTGTTACGTTTACATTGATATACAGATTTTTTTTTTTTTAACGATTAATAATAAACAATATATATATATATATATAGGAAGAAATTCGCTTGAAATATTTTTTCTCGTTCACGATGTTCGTCGTGTTACGCGTGTATAAAATATACGGTATCGTTTCATAAGCTGATCGTGCGATCGATGATAACAGGTGTTCGCACGTAGTCTTGAACTCTGTCTTTCTTTCTTTCTTTCTTTCTTCTTTTCCAACGATACAAATCGAAAAGCTTAAGTTAAAATGATACGAGTCAAGTACAAGTCGGCGAACTCCATCGTTCGTCGTCGTGAAAAAGTATTCGACACGATTGTTTGATACGTTTATTCCTTTTTTTTTTTTTTTTTAAAATAGCATCATATATATATCAGTATTCGTGACAGAATAGACCGAAATTTATCATAGATAAATGTTTCGTGACAGACGACACAGAATTCTCTTCCATCGAAAGGCACCGATTATTTCAACTTATTTAAAATTATCACGGTTCGTATCGATCGATCGATCGATCGCGAAACATTATTAATCCTTAATCCTAATTGATTAGAACAAACGGTATAAATGTCGCGGTGACATCGCATTAGAAAGGCAAACGGCAATAATCGAACGATATTTATCTAAGCTATGAACCAAAGGGTTTCTCACAGTCGAGGTTACATTATTGTGCTTGCAAACATCTCATCGTATAAAAAATACATCGTACAATCTTATAAATACCCTATAAACAGCATGTGTCACACGTAACAAACGATTTGAACGCGCGGTTAAAAAAAAAAGGAAAAAAAAAAAAAAAAAAAATAACCATAAATGTAATACCCGCGATTAAAAAATATCCTTCTCCTATCATCGTTTCTTCTTCCACCACGTGCACGTATAACACATACATTTATATATTTATATATAATCTATCTCGCTCGTTAATAATAATAATCTTCCTAAAAGTATACACCGAGTAGTGGAGAGAGTATAAAAGAAGGAAAAGAGGTAAAAAAAGGAAGGAGGAACAAAAAAACTCTACAATTTTTACGTACGCAAAAACCGTTGTGCTACGCGAAAGATACGGGGGGGGGGAAGAATAGGAAAGGGGGGAGAGGGGGAAAGAAAAAGAAAGTCGCCTGTTTCCCAATTCGAGAGCGGTAAATAAAACGTAACGTTTGCATCGTTAAATCTAATCGGTAACTTGGAACCCTACTATATCGAGCGAACGCTCCTCCGTCGGAGGATTCGCGAGAGAGAGGGGGGGATAGGCGAATAATCGGACGACCGTCGTCGGTCCCCCCGTGCCGCCCCCCTCAGATTTCGGTAGGGGAGGACACGTGTTGCTGTTGGTGATCCGACTCCTCGTCGCTGAATTTGTAGTTGTTGTCGCGGTTGCGGGATCTTAGCCGCCTGCTCGAGCCGGAACGATCCCTTCTGCTCTTCCTCGTCCTGTGGCTTCTCTTCGGCGACGGCATCTTGAAAATTTTCTCCTCCATCCGATTAATCTCGGCCAGCTCGTCGTCCGTGTTCAAGTCGTTGTACAAGCTGGGTATCGACTCGACGGGGATCAAGTCGTCGGAGCTAATGCTTGGAAACGATGGATTCGGTTTCGGCGCACTGTCTATCTGGTCCGTCTTTTCCTTGGGTGTCGAGGTTGTTGGAAGTTTGACCGAGCTAGAAATCGCCGAGGCCGATTGGATCGATGATTGTTCATTCGCAATTATTTGATCGGGCTTGAGCATATGCTGACCCCCGGTTCCGTTCGTTTCCCAATATGTATATATTTTTTTTTTTCGATGGTATATATATATACATATATATATACACATACATACACGAGCATCGTGGAATGTTTTATGTTACAGGTCGAACACAATAGACACCGTGTACACGTATAACACATGGTGTTTTGTTTTGTTTTGATTTTTTATTTGGTAAGCGACGAGTTGTTAAAGGGACGACGGTGATTGGCATGGTGGTTAGACGATGTGTGATGATGATGGTGGTGGTGGTGGTGGTGGTGGTCGACGTTGGTTTTGTTTTTTTTTTTTGTTTTTTATTTTTATTTATTTATTATTATTATTATTATTATTTTTTTTTTTTTTTAATTAGAGGTGGTAACGGCGCGGCGTGCAGGATAGGCGTGCAGGACAACGAAAACACAAAACCATGAAAAAAAAAGAAACAAAATCGAACGATTAGCGTGTTGGGAGTGGCTCGTACAAAGCGATTGCTAAAGCTAAAGTTTAATATCAATCAAGTGAAGTTAAAGTTAAATCTCGTCGATCGTTTTGTTGCCAAGGGAGAGATCGGATAACGGCCGAGTCATCGTCAGCTTCAGTTCGCAAGGTTCAAAACGATGAACGTACACATACGCACACACACATATATACATATATATATACTTGTACTTTGAATCATATCGCGAACAAAACGATCGATTCGATCGTTGGTACGGCATTTATAAGCGGATCGATTTGAGACAATTGATCGAAGGATTGGAAACTTACCTTTATAGCTGTTTGCATGAGAACCGTGGTGGCGTAATTGACACCTTTGGACCCTAGGTGCAACACCGCCGTGTAACCCTGCTCCGTCGCGCGGGCTAAAGCTTCGTCGATCTCGGCCTCGCGTTGGATCAACGCCGGATGAACGAAACGTCTGTAAAGGATGCTCGAGCCTTTGGTGGCCGGGCTCAGTAGCCAGATCACCAGGATAGTCTTGATCTCGTAGTAAAATGGAAACCTGCCCGGAGAGAGAGAGAGAACAAAGCGGAAAAAGAAAAAGACAAGGATTACGAATCAACAGTAAAACACATTCTGATAAGTAATTCTACGTGACGAGGGCGAGGGAAGGGGGGAAAAAAAAGAAAAAGAAAACCAAAACGATCGAAATCCCCGTGAACCACGACGAGGAAAATAAAGAAAAAGAGCGAAAAATCGGTTGATAGTGACCGAGTGGATGGTGATGGCAAAAGGAAATGAAAGGGGGAGAGAAAGAGAGAGAGAGAGAGAGAGGAAAGCACGAGGTTATTCCTGGCCAGAAATACACGAGAGGTCTCCTTTTTGGTTGGTAATCCGAGTATGAAGGGAGAGATCTGGCACACGGCGGGGAGAGAAACGGCAGAAACAGAGACGGAAGATGAGACGCTGGTTGAATCCTCAGAAGTGCATGTGTAAGCCAATATCCATCTCGGCCGAAATTAGACTTTTGGAATTTCCCTCCCCTCTTGGAGGTTCACCTCTCGGTTTATTGGCCCCCGCGAAATTCGTTGGAAATTTTATTCGCTTCCGGCAAAAACGGGGCCACGGTTTCTTCTCCTCCTCGTCTATTTCGAGGAGCCGCTCCTTCGAGAAAGAGAAGAAGAAGAAGAGGAAGAAGTGGTTGATCGATCTCTCCTCTTTTATTCCCTCCCCCCTCGTCCCGCAAAGAAGATGCGCTACGTTAAAGAGTTTGGAGCTCATGAATAAAAGCTCACCAAAAGCTGAAGAAGACGTCGGTGAAGGTCTCCGCGCAAGTGAACAGCGCGAACACGATCCAGTACATCATCCATTTCACCTGGAAACAGAGGAAACGAGAGGATACGATCTCGCTTCAATTTATTCTGTTCTTAAAACATAAATAAAGTAGAAGTCGAGATTTTGGGAATTCAAAAATTGGTCGGATTTAGAGAGAAGAGTCTCGTGTTTATCGAAGCGTGTTTGTGAGATTATTTGAACTATTAATAATTAAATTATAATTAAATTTATTTACTCACGTATTCCTTCACATTCTTCGTCCTAACCGCTTTGTAAGAGGCGTAGGCCGGGTACAAATTGCCGAACACTAATCTGAAAATCGGATACAGGAGAACGTAAGTGAGGGATCGGGGCATCACGATTACCAGGAGGGCGGCAAGCGTTCGAAGGAAGCCCAGGCTCATTTTCTTCGGCATCTGTTCGGCGAAGTATCGTACGACAGCGTGAAAGCTCGTTATTATTACACGGGGGGCCCCCGTTTTGCATACGATCCAGAGAAACGGATTTTCCTCGAGTTCATCCGGTCGAGGCTCCTCCCTTTTCATTTCCATTCCACGCGCGGCCCAAATTCTCCCTCACCTCCCCCGCCTTCGTCCTCCCCGCCTGGATTCTCTCCTCGCTATACCCGCGACCGTCCCCTCTCTCCGAATTCTTTTCGATCCGATCCGTCGGCCCGATCCGACGCATCAAACTGGAAAACATCCAACCAAAAACATCTCCCGTCAAATATATCTCGTCTTTCGTTCCTCGCACGTTTTAAACACGATCTGGAGAGATAGAAAGGAGAATATATATATATATATGTGCGTATGTGTATAAGAGAGAGAGATAGCTTACAGAAATCGGCGAAGATTTTCTTTCGATTCGAGGAGATCGGAGGCTTTTTGTTTCAACGAGAGAGATGATAAAACTCACGGACTTTGTACGAGCTGATCGACACGGGGCATCCTTTTATCGTATCCGAACGATAGTTCCGTGAATGACGTCGACAATCGTGGCCGATTGCAAAGATAATTTAAAGCGGGAGATCTGCGAACAAGCACGATCGACGACGATGATAGCGATATCTCTGTCTCTCTCTATCTCTCTCTGCCTCGATGCACTTGTTGCATACTCCCGAACGGAATCTCTTTCTTCACATGATCCGATTCGAATCGGCCTACGACGAATCGACGAAACGTCGTTGAGAATGGCCGTTCGAGGATGGCCGGTCGAGAGGAAAACTCGATGCGTTCTCGCTTAGAGTCGAAGGCTGTTGCTCCGCCCGCGGATGCTTCCAGTTAAAGACTAAATGCGTAGCCGCGTTCTGGCACCGACGTGTCGACCACACTCGTCGTCTACGGACTCTATTTTAGCGCCTTAAGCCGCTGTCACGCGACACCGAAATTCGCCTATGCGCCCGAATGCTTTCGCTCTTTCGTTTTTCTTCCATTTGTTTCCTCCACGCGAGATCGAGTTGCGTTAACAAAAGGGGCAATATTAAAGGGAGATTGCTTAGATTGTCAAATGAAACGATAATAGGACGTTCGTTTTACGTTGTTATGTTAAAAAGGGGGAAAGGTTTGACGATTGAAATTATCGAGTTTTTTTTCCTTTTATTCGATGAATAAAAGTGAAAAATTGTGATTCGGACGGCGAATTGTATTGCTGCGGCGCTTTCGATTTCGATTTGATAGGACGATTATCGTCGAGGTAGAAAACGATTCTCTCGAGCTTCGTCCAACGAGAATCGCGTGAAACTACGGTTGATCGTGCATCGTAGGTAATTCGATGATTGTCACCAATGTCGCTATTTGATTGCGTAACAGGGCGTCCTTTGTGCGCAGTCTCCGTTTACTATTTGCGTGTTAACGAGATTCGCGGCTGGAATATTTCCATTTTTTTGAAAATTTCAGGATTATGCAGGATTACGCACGAATCGAGAAATATTTTGAAACAAGAAAAGAATAAAACTGTAATATTTTAAATTATATATGTATATATAGAAAACAATAATTATTACGTTCTAAGGAAAGTAAATTATTTAAAAATTGCAGATATTTGTAAATATTCGAAAATGGTGGAATTAAAATTGAAAGTTAAAGAAACGGCTACGATGTTGGACGAAATGATAATATTTAAATATATTTATACTTTATATAGAAAACAATAATTATACGTTCTAAGGAAAGTAAATTATTTAAAAATTTGCAGATATTTGTAAATATTCGAAAATGGTGGAATTAAAATTGAAAGTTAAAGAAATGGCGACGATGTTGGACGAAATGATAATATTTAAATATATTTATACTTTAAATATATTTATATTTTATATAGAAAACAATAATTATACGTTCTAAGGAAAGTAAATTATTTAAAAATTGTAGATATTTGTAAATATTCGAAAATGATGGAATTAAAATTGAAAGTTAAAGAAATGGCGACGATGTTGGACGAAATGACAATATTTAAGTATATTTATACTTTAAATATATTTATACTTTATATAGAAAACAATAATTATACGTTCTAAGGAAAGTAAGTTATTTAAAAATTTGCAAATATTTATTATTAAATATTCGAAAATGGTGGAATTAAAATTGAAATTTAAAGAAACGGCTACGGATGTTGAATAAATATATCAATAATATTTAAATATATTTATAATTTAATATATATTTATATTTTAAATTGTGTATGTACATATAGAAAATAATAATTATACGTTCGATACGTTCTAAGGAAAGTTATTTAAAAATTTGCAAATATTCGAATATGGTGGAATTAAAATTGAAATTTAAAGAAATGGCGAACGAAATAATAATATATCGATAATATTTAAATATATTTATAATTTAAATTGTTTATATATATAGAAAACAATAATTATACGTTCTAATGAAAGTAAGTTATTTAAAAATTTGCAAATATTTATTATTAAATATTCGAATATGATGGAATTAAAATTGAAATTTAAGGAAATGGCGACGATAATATTTAAATATTTCGTATAAAAGAAAAAGGAAAAGAGAAATGTATATTTCACGTATTTCAATAGTAGATATCTCTTTAAAAGTACGAAGAAGAATTTATTGATCTAGGTGACGAAAAAGAACAAGAATCACAAATGCACATAAGGAAATAACTTAGCAAGTCAAATTGCAATTCTCTGAAAGATAAAAAAATATGATTTATCAAAATTCTCTTTGCATGTTCTTACATGTATTAAATTTTAAGTAATTTTAGTAAAAAGAAGAAATTCGAATATGAAGTTGATTTTAGTAGAATAAACGAAATACATATATTTATTATTTTCTTTCTTTCCTCTAAACAGTTACTCAACAGTGATTAGAAAACAACGTACGCATCTTTTTATTTGTTTAAACGTTATCGTACATTTAACTCAAGAAACAAGGAGAAATAAATCGAGAAGAATATTTAGAGAGAAACGAACTAGTTCAAATTTTTATAACCAGAAAATTATAGAAGCTATAATATTTTTTAAAAAATTCGAAAATTTATACTTGTTAACTTACTTTTAAAGATATATTCATAAAATTTTTAATCATACCAAACATTCTGTCATTTATTTTACACTATATATTTAAAAAATTATAGGAATCATAACTTTTGAAAAATTCTAAAATCCTCTTATTATTTTTATATACATGAATACATAAAACATGTAGGATGGTTAAAAATTTCTTTTACCAATAAATTTTTGATTATATAACGAGTGATTAGAAATAAATTTTAGCAGTAACGAATATCGATGAATACATAATATGACGTGGTAAAAATACTACTGCAAAAAGGAAACGTTATAAACGTTGTACACTATCGCTTCTTCAGCATTTTCTCAGCCTATTTGCGAGCCACGCGCGACTCGTGAACGACTCGTTTCTCAATCGTACGTATATTTAAAGATACCACACACAAGACACATAATCGTGTAATCAAATCTCCACGTAACATAATGAATCTCCGATTATCGATGTATTCCCACCGTCAATATCGCGTTTCGTTGTGCAATCGATACGCGCATATAATGCAAGAATGATAGTTATATCCAAAATTTGGATTTTGAACAATTTCAACCCTGGATTGAAAAATTTTATTTGAGCAGTTATTGGAATATAGAATTATTTAATCAAATAGGAAAATTATGAAAAAAAAAAGGGAATAAAAAAAGATGCGCGAAACTTTATATTTTCCAATTCAAGTTCAGGTATAATTTTAACTCTTCGTAAGCCAGTGTTTTTCTCGTGTATTTTCTATATAAGCAAGTTATCGTTTATAATCTAATTATTACATTTTCTTAATGTTTCAAATTTAAAATATTTTTGGTATATAAATAGTGAAATGTATAATTATTTTATCAAACAGGAAAATTATAGAAAAAAAAAGAAAATAAAAAAAGATGCACAAAACTTGGTAATTCAAGTTTAGATATATAATTTTAACTCTTTGTAAGCCAGTGTATTTTTCTCGTATTTTCTACATATATATATATTAGTTAGATCAAATTTACATTTTATAATCAAATTTACATTTTCTTAATGTTCCAATGTTCTTTGGAAAAAATTTTTTGGAAAAAATTTTAGGACACTCGTCATCAATTCTTCACAATTTTTGTTATTAAGAATTATTTTAAAAAGTTTATAAAACTGATTATGTTTATGAGAGACAAAGAGTAAGTATTGCTTCACGTGTTCTTTGGATCGTTTCTTTAGATCTTTAGATTATTTATAATCAAATTTACATTTTCTTAATGTTCCAATATTTTTTGAAATTTTTTGGAAAAAATTTTAGAACACTCGTCATCAGTTCTTCACAATTTTTGTTATTAAGAATTATTTTAAAAAGTTTATAAAACTAATTATGTTTATGAGAGACAAAGAGTAAGTATTGCTTCACGTGTTCTTTAGATCGTTTCTTTAGATCATTTATAATCAAATTTACATTTTCTTAATGTTCCAATATTTTTTGAAATTTTTTGGAAAAAATTTTAGAACACTCGTCACCAATTCTTCACAATTTTTGTTATTAAGAATTATTTTAAAAAGTTTATAAAACTGATTATGTTTATGAGAGACAAAGTATTGCTTCACGTGTTCTTTGCATTATTATCTCAAATCAACTTTCAATATTATCTCATTCGATTTCTATTATTTTTTATTATTCTGATATTATTCCTCCTCTCGTTTCTTACATCATTGCAACCGCTGTCGTTTTAAAAATGTACTCGATCATCGGTCAAGTACAATATGGATAAACAGGAAATATTTCAATGTCCAGATTCATGCACATCCGAATGAATATGCAAAAGGCAGTTTACAAAATTGGACTTGGGTTACAATATTTTTTTGCGTTGCTTTTTTAATTTTAACCGTTAAAATTACTATTCCGGATCGACAAATTGGAAGGAAGAAATTGTTTAATTATCGATTCAAAAATTGAACAAGAAACGAATGATCATAATTTCCTTATTTAATTAGTAGCTATTCTAAAATATTTATTCAATTTTTCTTTTTTTGCAAAATTTCGTAACTGGATAATTTTCAATTACTCGAATAATAAAAAAAAGATAAATTTGGATATAAGACTCAGCTACCATTATTCCACAGTTCAAGGATTAATCGGACATCTTCTTTCCCTCCCCTGTTATTTTTCTCTTTATCCCCGGATTCGCGACATTCCAGTAAGATTTTCTAGCAAGATAAACCGGCAACCCTGAATCCTCTAAATTTAGCCCGCTCTTCCAAACCATTGTGAACGTTGAAGAGCGATAAAAATCTTCGTATCGCAGAGTTGAGTGAAAAACGATGGACAGAACGAATACACCAATTGTTCCCGATCTCTTTCATGTTTATTAATGCACACTTGTAAACACGAGGCGTTGCTGCACGGCGTGCGTTGCTCGTTCGGCAATAACGCGGAAACGCAGAGGCGAGCACACCGTGTACAATGACGCCGTTTATTCGTACGAGGTCAAGATCATTGTCGTTCGTTCGCGCTTAGCCTGGATTCCGTCACGTTTCGCCTCGTGGCTTCTCCTCCTCCTCCTCCTCCTCCTCCTCCATCGTGAAATCTGCACGGCATTAGGCAGGCGAACGCGTCTTTCATCTCGCGTGTGTTTTTCCTTGGAAAAAGAAAAAAGAAAAAAAAAAAAAAAAGAAGGTGGTTCTCTCGAACGAATTTCGCCTCCATTTCCGATTTGTAACGGGTTTTCCCTACGTTTGGAACGTTTGGACCACGGTGCAAAAACTTGGAACGTCCGGAACGAACGAGTTTATTATTATGAGAGTGGTTCTCAACTTGGTATCATGATAAAACAGGGAAGAGTAGAATAGAATTTTTTTCTTTTTTTTAATTTAGTGTATT